AATACAAATCCTATTTCAATGAAATAGTCTAAAAAACATTGTTTTGAAAAGTATTCACATTTTTATGCTTTCGACGAGTTGCAAATATAATTTTCTTCTCATTCAAAGTCTGTATTCTGAGAAACTCTGCAACTCCCTGTTAGGGACAAACAGCCTTTCTGATGGCCAGTGCGGGCCCAAGGGCAATAGGTTGGAGACCCCTTCCCTGACCTTATGAATTACTTCATGCTGATTCTCTTAATGTTCTATTTACATTATTTTTTGCTTTGATGCCTCTGCATTTCACATCTTAATCACGTGACATGACTCGGTATTGGTTAACTCTGATCCTGTTGAATTCTATTGGTCTCCCCACCACATTTCTGTATGGCGACATAATTCACAAAGCACACTAAGCAATGAATAAAGATGATGGGGCACATTGACGAAATCCTAATGGTGAAATTCAAATCATAAGAAATGTTTTTGCCAATGTAGATGAATAATTTACATTTTTATTTTAAAGGTTTTCAGACATTTTATTACCCTCATACTTCAAAATTTGACCTCTTTTAAGATGACAATTGACAAATGACAATTGGTTATTTAAAATCTCTCCATATATATTTTTCTCAATTCCCTTATTTTTTCTAAGATATAATTGAGGAACTTTGATTTAATAGAAGAAAAATTTCCATCTTTTAAAAAAAGCATTAACAAAAGTTCGATAGCTCCCTTTATGAGATATCTTCAGCAGTACATTTCAAAACCGGTAAAACAAATCCTCACTGTAGACGCCTAAAACGAAAATTCTAATGTTAGTTTTTTGACCCACCAAAAACGGCATTCGCCCGATGTGATTTTCCACACACTTATTTAAAAACTCATGAATTAAATTGAAATAAATGTCAAAGAAAATGTAAAACTTCAACCACTAATTGCACCCTACTGTTGAAAACCAAGTGGCACATTTTCATTAAAAAATCATCCATTTTTAATGAGTTAACAATAGTGTTGTCGTTAAAAAGTATTCGAAAAATAAATCATATCGGAAACCATTGAAAAACTATTTCTACATTTAAGTATGGTAATGATTTACTTCACGTCTCAAGGGAGATTTTTGTTTCGTTTTATGAAAAAAGGAATAATGTAGCACTCATTAAATGAAAGTAATGATCATAAAATTCCCTCCTCTTCTTTAATGAAATAAGGTAATAAATAAAACGATAAAATGAAAGCCCTAAATCCTATACAAGACTGCATACAGATGAGCCATCGAGAACAATTTTGGGAGAGTATAAATTGGTATCTTAAAAACTGGCGGCCGCATGATATTAAAAGTAATTTAAAAACATCGTACAGATTTGACTACAAAAGAACTGTTAGGTAAATATCCGTTATCCAATATTATTTGTTTATTGTCAACAGAAAACCGAAAAAACTTCAAGTAACGTGGAGAAGAGCAATAATTAGTGTTTAGAAGCAGAACAAAGAACTCATTCGATATTCTCTCTTCAAATCGCTAACAAATTGAGCTAAAATTGCGATGGTGATGGGAGGTATAGTCTTAAATTACAATACACTTAAAATATTAAAATAGACATCATGTACTACAACTTTTATACGAAGACCGTCGCAGTACAGTATTTCATTTTTTCACGTTTACCTCTTGAAATTAACAGATTGATCTAGGAAAGTTTTTCTAAAATAGGGATACTAAACTATTACATAGTTTTTTAAATTGTTCTGTAATGCTAAATTAACATACATATATAATGCAACCAAAAAGGAAAATAAAAAGATATACTTATCACCCGCCGTTTGCTAAATATTTTAAAAGTTACCAGTTTTAAGATGTTCTTTTGAATTATTGGAAATTCCTTTCCCTTGAAAAGGGGTTTCAGAGGTGTGCTGAAAATCCTATTAGTAGGAACTTTTTTTCACACCTCACCTGAATTATTTTTGTTAACAATTACACCCTAGACATTCCCAAAGATCATATAGAACATTAAAAGCTTCATCAAACATTGCAGTAAACACTTTTCGAGTCTAAAATTCAGTACAGAAAAACATCCATAGCACATCAATCCAAGCAACACAAGCATCAATGATAACTGAGTGAGTATTGGCGAAAGCTATCGAGGGAAAACACACATCTTATAAGTCTATTTTTTATTCTTTCGAAATTTGTATTTTAAATTGTCTAACCATCAACTATTAGGAAAAATACAGAACGCACGATAACACAAATAACCAACTCGTTGATCATAAATTTCGTCCGTCGTTTGCCGTGTCCAGACGGCGTTAAAATTTTTACAGTAGACCAATGGTGGAAACGCCGAGCGTCGAGGGCCGCGCACAGAAGGTGCGTCGCGTTATGCAAAGCGCGCGGCGGTGGCGTCAGCGCGCGCTGCGGCGTGCACAGCGAGTGCCGCGAGAGTACGGCCGGCGCGGAGCGGCAGCGGCCGCGGCCGACGGCGGTTGGGCTCGCGTTTCATCAGCCGCGGAGCGCCGCCCCGGGCGAGGCGGGGCGGGACGGGGCGGGGCGGGGCGAAGCGGGACGGGGTGGGGCGGAGGCGGAGACCACGGCCACCGCGGTACTTAAACGGGCGGACTCTGCTCGCCGTTATCACTTCGTCTCCGATCTCTATAGCGTTCACTGGCAGCTGCGTTCTTACCTGTGTTGCTCGAGTTCGCTGGACCTGATTCGGTGTCGCGTCTTGTCGTTTGGAAGAAGGCTGTCGTTCGTTCCCTGGATATTAGGGAAAACTATTATTGCTTCGTTTGGATAATTCTATAGGTGAGTGTTTTCAAATTAGATTATGTATTGTATGGTACAGCCTTAAAGGCCCTTTTGTTTTCTATATTACTAGCAACATCGTAAAACTTCGGTTAATTCGTTTATTCATCAACATAAAGTATTGGCATTTCTTTTTATCTATCGCAAAATATCAACCATTGATTTAATTTTAAAAAATCAACAATTCACATTTTAAATTCAGAATAATATCAATTTATATTTACGAATACTAATAAATTCTTCTTGGGCAGTAATTTTCTTTTTACACATTTTCTAAACGTACAAATTTCGGCGTCAGATGTGTGATTGCTGTATTTTTTTATGTCCGGTATCCAAACAGTTTACCGACAGATTCACTCATTTTCTTTTTAATTTATTCCGTCGCCCTCGAATAAAATTTTAATCAAAGGTAGGTATCAAAATACCTCTACACGTTGTACAATATATATGGGACGTATCAGAGGTAGCCTTCCAATTCATGCAACGCAATTTTCATTAATAATCGTCTTCAAGATGTTTGTCACCGCTAGAAAGGTCGGTTAAGGAGGCTGTATAATGAGCAATCTTGTGATCCACCAATCTTGCGAGCACCGAGAGCCAGAGCGGCGGCGGGCTGCCATGTGCACGCACCACGCCACGCCATGCCATGCTATGCCATGCCATGCCGCACCGCACCGCTTCGCGCTCTGCCCGATGGGCGTGCGCGGACTATCGCTCGCCCGTTGCGACAGCGCCCACGGCCGCGCCCCCGCTGCCCTCAGCAGCCCTCCTCCGCCCCGCCCCGCGCCACCACAACGCGATTCCTCTTGCAAAAGGCTGTGCGTCACACTGTGTTGGAAACAATACCAACACGAAAAAACGGACATCGAGACTTGGTGGGTCGATTCACGTAGACGTTTTGTTCTCAGTAGCTAAGTGGCTGTCGTAGATCAGAATTTATTTTCGTTCTGTTTTCTGCAATTCTCAAGTAAGAAAATAAACCAAAGAAATAATCAGAAACGATATTCGTTTAAATGGGCCCTGAACTGAAAGTTTATAGCTGTACTGAGCGTTTAACAGTTAGAAACAACAGTTTAATACTATCTCGAAAAGTAAAGTACATTCAAAATTTGCATAACTATCTTAAAGAGTCTAACACTCTTTAAAAAACTTCATGAACTTTACTTACTTCAATACGCCCTAATATATAGTATTTTACACATTACGTGTAGTACCTGTTTAAAATAGGAAAGTATTTCGCGAATTAAAAAATCTAATTCTTGACGTAACGTAAACGTTGTTAACGTATTACATAAAATAAATATTACAATATATCACAATGCATTATCGAATTGAACGTATTTCTTTCACTAGTTTAGCGTTATTCCGCCCGAGTTAAATACGTTTTAGTTCCGCGAAACGCAGAGATTTGCAGAAGGCGGGCGATGACTTGCGAGATCATATCACGAGGGGAGCAGGCGACGGTGGCGGCGAAGGCGGAGGAGGAGGTGGAGGTGGAAGGCTCGTCGAGGGCGGCGAAAGCATTGGCCGCCGCCGGGGGCTCGACGGGCCCCGCCGCCCGGCCGCTATCGCCCTGGCCGGGTCAGCCCGCGAGTCGCGCGTCGCGTGTGCGCGGAAGAGAGCGAACAGCGCAGCGGACCGTCCGCGACGGCCGGCCACCGCTTATCGCGCGACTAAAACCATTTCAGGCGATTCGAACGCCGCGCGGAAGTCGCCAGCGGCAGGGGCGGTTTGGGCGGCGGCCAGCTGGGAAGACTCCACTTAAAAAAAATTAAAAAAGAAGGAAAAAGACAGATAATCTATAAGATTTCAATTATACAGCCTCACAGTGTGAATTCGATAAAACAAAGAATGTACAAAGATATAAGGTTTATCTCAATCTGATGGTACCCAAATAGTACGAATGTAATTTTGTAGTGGTTCTATTTTTCGTTTTTGCGGCGAAAGAAGTTTTAATCGTGTTTGTTTTTTTTTGACATTTTTTCTGCACTACCTTTAAGAGAAAGAAATTACATTAACGAATATTATATATGCTTCTGCCTAATGCACTCGTATGAAACAAAATTTTGGTCGTACAGAAAACAATAATTTCACGTACTTAACAAAAATTACTAATTGGCATTTACATACGGCGATAATTGATTTCGTTGCCAATCAATGTATACTGTAAAAGAAGCCCATTTCAACGAACCGCTTCTTCTTACAGAGAATCCACTCTACGATGATGACGTCGCTAGGCAGCGAAGAAGGCATGTCGAGTGCGAATAGTCCTCAACCTGGGCTGCTCTCCATCGCCGGCGACGCGCTCGCCCTGGCGGTGGCGGCGCTGCGCCTGGGCCCCGATTCCGCCCCCGCGCCTCGCAGCCCGCCCCGGCCCGCGCCCCGCGCCCTAAGCCGCGCCCGCCGCCGGCAGTGCCCGTGCCCGCCCCCGCCCAAGACGACGCCGACCTGCCCGTCGTGTCGCTGTCCGAGGTGGCGTGGCACGACCACCACGACGACTGCTGGATAGTCGTCTACGACCGCGTCTACGACCTCACGCCGTTCCTTTGGGAGGTGAGTTTAACAATCCTCTACGGCTATGATATCGTTTAAGTACACCCACAACCAGATCGCGGGATCTCTATTGCACCAAATTACAATAACACGCCTCCAGCGCTGAGAATGATCTATCTGGAGTATACGCACTAGCTAGATTAGCTATCTAGACTTCAAACTGTCTGTTAGCTGGATTAAAATAAACCTTCCATAATTTTGTGAAACAATACACAAGCTTTCTCTCCTTGTTAGGTTTCAAAAGAATCCACATTTCTGATAAATAGAATGCGAGCGACTGCTGTAAACCAATTAAATTAACAAAACGAGTAAATATTTGAATCACAATTTTGTTGTTATACTTCATTTAATAAATTAAATTTGTATTCCGTTGTTGTAAATCAGACTTACATGACCTATTAGAAAACAGACTAACATGAATTCAAGTTTTAGTTCAAACGCAAATGTTACACGTGACAAGTGCTTTAAAACGTAATATTTGCGCGCGTGACTGACCGAGATCTGTTCCGCCCCCGCAGCACCCCGGCGGCGAGGAGATCCTGCTGGACTACGCGGGGCGCGACGCGACGCTGGCGTTCGCGGGCATCGGCCACGGCCCGGCCATGCTGCTGGCGCTGCGGCCGCACCTGGTGGGGCGGCTGCCGGAGGCCGAGCGCATCTACAGCGTGGCGGCGGCGGAGCGGGGCGTGCTGCAGCTGCTGGGCGTCAGCTAACCGCCTCGCCCCGTCGGCACC